TCGAACAGCATGAAAAGACGATAGCACCTCTTGGCGGATTAAATGTCCATTTGAATGAGAAGTTCAAAGTTGCCTTTTGTGAAGACAATCAAGCAACAACTCACACCATTCAGACTGGAAATTCCGCCAGCTTCGTCATGCTGACAGAACTCAAAGAACTTCTTTGGCGTGGCTTCGAGAACAATTCACAAAAGGTTTCTTCAATCTCGTCAACGTCAACACTGTGTACCCAATAGACCAGATAAGTCAGAAAATTGTCTATTCGACTAATTTGTGGATTCGGTCTATTTCGTGTTGCCTACGGGCATTTTTTGACTATTAGTCAGAACTTGTTCTGTCTATTCGGCAGTTTTTTCGGTTGTTTTTTGGAAACGGAAATAGAGTAATTAGGCCGAAGTAATTTTGACTATTATGTTAAATGTTCGGTCTAGTTCATGGTGTTAGGCAAACCTTGAAACCCGAAGTTTCCTCGAAACTTCTTGCAAACTGCTGGCGGCTCAGTCTGTGAAAAGTCGCAGTTTTGGACAAACTAAACCCGCACTTTCCCCGCACTTTCCTCCAAGTGTTCCTACGCATGCTAGTGGTTCAATGGGCATCTTTACCACCTGACGGCAAAAAGCCGAGGTTTCCTCGTAGTTTGCCCGCAGTTTTGCCGCACTTTGCGTAGATCTATTTCTAAAACCACAGTTTAGATCCGTTTCTATGATTTCGAGATTCGGCCGTTTTTAGTCTAATCTAGTCTATTGGGTATCAGGTTGCGGACATCTTGACCAAGCCGTTCACGAGCAAAGCAAATGGGATCATGCTTGCAATCTTATTGGAGTACGGTGGGTGCAGTTGGATGGAAACATTACAATCAAGCCAGCCCCCACTAGCGAAGCGCAAGCTTCCGCCGTTTCCACGCATGAAACATATGATCGGTTCTTATGCGAGTTTTGCTGTTCGGATGATTCCAAGCTCGGCGACAAATCAAGGTTACCCGCATTTGGTTGCAAAGTACTTAGAGTAACTGAACGTCAGAATGCGTTGGTTGCAGATACGTTGCAGTGGGTATTTGACGAGGTGCAAATTTTCAGGAAGAATGTCAAGTCCAAAACACCGCCCTGCGTGATGATTCATGCTTCACTTCCGTGTACGGGTGGGTGCCCCTGGAACAATATCAATGGTGAGACTCAAGAAGGCCAAGCCAAGATCCAGGAGCACAAGGCGTTGTTTCGCAAACTGTTGAAGCGTTTGGACAAGCTTATCACTATGCTTCGACAGCTTGACATTGTGCTTGTAATCAACATGGAACTTCCTAAGCTTTGCAGTTATTGGAAGACCTTTTTCGTGCATGCTTTCCTCATGAAATATGAGCTTGTCAAGTACAATTGCGATGGTTGCATGTTTGGTGTTCTTGACAAGGATGGAAATTTGTTGCAAAAGTCATGGACTATTGCTTCTTCCTGTCAATCGTTGGCCAAACTGCAACAGTATAAGTGCACAAAAGATCATCAGCATGGACAGTCCAGGGGGGCGGCCCTCAAACGTGCAGAATCCTACACGTATGAAATGACTGACCTGATCCATGAATGTTTTTCTGAGTTTGCTGACAGCATGAAACAGTTTGTCACCGATAGCTCGGCTCAGAGAACTACAAAACGTGCACTTGTTGCTCTTAAGCTTCCCTCACCGGTAGCCGCTATGGCTGCTTACAACCTCGGGGAGTATTCGGAGGGCAACTTGGAGTACTGGCGAGGAGTGATGACGAGCTTTACATCGAACACTTTGTTCCAAGAGACAAGGCCTGAGGACCGCAAGACTATGGAGCAGATCCTCAGTGCACAAGCTACTCTGCAAAGCTCTTGCGCTATGTGGGCGGCTGACATGCGCCGGAACTCATGGACACGTTGTGTGCTGTCAATGATAAAGGCCTTGGCCGCATCACGCCCGGGGCAACCTGTGGCCGAAATAGCGTGTACCTCGTCGTGAGCGACTCCAGCCTCGCTTTGATTAGCGGACACAAAACAAACCGCAAAAGAGCGGACCTCGCGCAGGACATGAACTACAACCGCTGCTCTGGTTGTAGCCACTGCGAGGTGAGAATGTGTTGGGGAAAGGACCTCACGTTTCTCACATGGACCGTCAAGAGCGCGATGAAGGAGCCCAAGAAGCGGTCTGAGTTCAAGGACCATGACTTCTACGTGACGGTGCACTGGTCCGGGAACGAGCTCGTTGGCAGCGGTGGGATCTGCGACGAGCCGGAGTGGCCATACCGATGTGGAGACGGACACTGGCCCGAGCTGTTCAACAAGTGCGCCAAGGCGATCGACGTGCTTGAGGAGTGCAGGAGTTGGTGGAGCATTGCAAACATTACGACCCTGGCCAACACCGAAGGTTCGTACTACATGCTCCCGCCTATCTACAACCGGTTCATGGAAAAGTTGTTGGATGAATCGCTCGGCAAGCACAAGCTCCTTCGCAAGAAGGAGTCGACCTTTTTGGTGGCACGACAGGACAGGCTCGACAATTACCACATGATGGACTCCATCGAGAATCGGAAGACGACGGTGGAGTGGGCGTGTGCTTGAGAAGGTTGAGGAGGTTGAGATCAAAGAAGAAGTTGATTTCGACGACGATGAAGCACTCCCGCAAGGGAGTGCGCTGAGGCTGCGCTTGGCGTCAAGGCCGCTCCGGCAACACCCAAGTTCACCGCGAAAGCATCGCCTAAGGTACTGGCGAAGGCAAAGCCAACAGCGGTGGCATCGGATGTGCGGGGGGCGACCCCTGCCGGCAGCGCATTGCCAGGCAAGCCCGGCGGCATCGTCACCTTCCGCGGCCAGCAGTACGAGGCAAGGATCCTCCCGGGCACGATTCTGAAAGTGCCGACCTTCCTGAAGGGAGAGCCTTCCTCGACGGACAGATGCACTACGTTAACTGGGATGCTGCGTGGCCGATTTCAGGATCAACGGCCATTGGACTTCGACGAGGATTACTTTGTCGATGTGCACCAGTTGTGCGACAAGTTTAACAGGAAGACCCGGAGCAACATCGGGTACAAGACGCTGTTGAAGATCTTTGCTTGTGACCCGAAATGCAGATTTAACTGTCCTCGCGATCAAGCATCCTTCGGCCGCTGAAAACAACCAGGAGTGGGTTGTCATCAAGGTTCGTGCTAGCCAAGGACATGCCAGCAGCGTCAATGCTGATGGCGACATCAGCCGAAACCAGTACGCCCTTGCGAAGGCCGTCTTCGGGAAATTCCTCCCGGAGGACGCTCGCAAGGCTGGACTGCAGCCTTCGTTGATTGATGATGCTCCTGGCAAGCTGTACCATCGAACCAGCAAGGCCGCAGCTGACAACATCGTGAGGACGGGAGTGATTCCGGGCGGAGTTGGAGCAACCGAGGGCGGGCGTGCACAGAGCCACTTCTCTATTCACCCCGTCGAAAGCTCCGCCTACAATGCAGGGGTTCGTGCCTCCATGCCGATCGAGCTCGTCGTTGAGTCCCCAATGATGCCATCGGATGTGCAGACCGGCGAGGTGCTCTGGAGAAATGCCCTTCGCCTGGAAGCATGGGAAAGTCAGACAACAGTCGAATCGCTCGCCGCAAGGCGAGCCGTCATCGTGACAGCAGATGAGGCCTTTCAGACCGACAAGGAGGGAAAGAGGGCCAAGAATCCCAAAGAGGAGCAGACGAATGAGGACACGGCCGCAACTCGCCCGGGGCAACCCGAGGCCGATTCCTCAGCCGTCAGATTCAAGACCTTTGCCATTCCCGTCCATTACACGGACTGCAGCGTTTGCGGTGAGGACATGATGCAAGGGCAGCTGAAGTGCCAGCGTTGCGGACATGGCACCAAGGAGAGCAATGACGTTCAACTTTTCAGAGCTGCAAAGCGGAGAACGCAAATGCTCGAGGAGGTGTGTCACCGCGTTGGCAAATCTGTGGATCAGCTCCTTATCAATGATTTCAAGGGCTACACTACACGGATGTTGCAAAGCGAGGAGCAACATCTTTCGAGGCAAAGCAGATCGAAGCCTCGAAGAATTACGATAGCAGAGCCAGGAATTGGGGTACGATAACGTCGTGGACAGGTTCGACAAGGACGCGACGTTCGGCTCTCCGGATGGTTGAGCAGGGCCACAACCGCGAGAGCCTGTACCAGATGTCCATCTTCCGTTTCTGCGTTCTTCCGGAGTTCCCCCGAAGCTATGATCAGAGGCTTTTGGGGGTTGGGCCTGGTTATGGAAAGCGAGGACACCACTACGTCAGAACCGTCTACGTCACCGGTGGCCAGGTTGGGGATTACGATGCCAACCTGCACTCCTTTCCATGGCTCTTCTCGTACAACGGGAAGATGTTGAGCCTTGCCCAATTTGTCGCCCAGGTTAACATCCTCCCGGGGATGCGCAACCTTGTCACTCGGCGGAGAGTTTCCTACGCTCCGGGCAACCGGAGCCGAGGGCCTTGAAGCTGAGATCAAAGAGATCTGTGTTGCTCAGCGCAGCCAAAAGCAAAGCGCTGAAGACCGTGCCCGTGGACACACTCAGCCTGCATCCAGCTCCACTGCCGCACACAGGAGCCGCAGCTGGAGGGACTGGAGTGGTCGTGACTGGAGCGATCGCGCCTGGAGCAGCTGGGAATGGACATCCTGGAGTTCGCGTGGCTGGTCTACAAGCGGGAGATGGTGAATGCAAGGAGCACCTCTGAGAGCGACAGTACCCGAGTGTTTGCACGATGGATGTGTAATGTCCATGTTCAACGTGCAATGGATGTGTGTCGAATAGAAGCGGGTTGCAAAACCTGCCGACATTTTCGTTGCTGTTCAATCTCAAATGAGGGGGGTGTGGATTCAGGTTCCAACCCTGTGCATGTATATGCTCCGCCCGCTACAGACTTCAAGATCACTGACAGCAGTGTGAAAAGGTAGTCAACGGTTTGCTGCTTGCCTAGGTATTCCCTTAGGTGGCCTAGGCTTGATAACACACTTTTTAGCACGGCCGTCCAATTCCTTCAGGTGGATTTGGGCTACGACGCCGCGCGGGTGCTGCCCACCTTCGCCGGGGTGCCTCTGCTCTCGGCCTACTCCGCGGCGGCCTGCGGGGTGCGCCGGGTCCTCCAGGCGCGACGCGCGCGCAGCCCGACCGTTTGGCCGGGGCGGTCGGTTTCCGAGCGGTCCATGCCATGCCTTTTCTTCATGAGTGATTGGTGGACATCAATCAACGCTACATAATGTGGGGTGCCTTGTTTCATACGGTTCATGAGGGAGCAAAAAGCAAGCACAAGCTTATAAGCAACTCAGGTTGCCGATGCTAAAAGGGTCAGTTGAGGAATCGCTTCGGTTCCTTCCTTTGGGGTTCGCAGCAAAGTTTGTAGAAACCCTTGATTTGGACATAGAACCAAAAGCCAATGGGTTTTGGTCAACCATGGGTCGGCTTCAGGACCCATATGGCAGGCATATAAACAATTTGAAGACTTGGGTTTTGCCCGGGGTTGACTTGGTGGACCTGGCTGGACCTAGACAGTCCGCTTTGGACAAATGGGGTGCGAGATGTGTTTCGGGGATCCGGAAATATCATACCAGCCCGCCAAACATTCTGAAGCGCACAGGCACTGGACCCCTTGGATCGTCGCCAGGGGATCAAAGGGGCGCTGGGCTCGTTGAGCTCGGAGGCGCGGCTGCGGGTGCTTTGACTCATTGAACATCACCGTGTAAGACAAGAGTTCTTTGAGTTAAGGAAAAACACCACGCTCATAACAAAGGTGGTGGATTGAAACATCACTCTTGGTAGGGTCTTTCTTTTAAACGTCCGCCTTGGTTGAGTTTCCGGGATGGTGGTGTTAGGCTGGACATGCAGGGAACTGCAAAAGGGCCGCCTTCAAAGTCCGTGAAATTCATGGGGAGCCAGCCAACTCTGTCTTTGGGATTGGTTTGGGAAAAGCTCCTTTCTGTTCCCAGCAACATCACCAACATGGTTTGTTGCCTTTCCCAACCTGTCACCCTCCTTCTAATCATGGAAGCTGACAGGAAGGAGTGGGAAGATCGGGAAACTGCCCTGTGCACCTCAAACGATTGAAAGAGCCCCTTTGAGGGGATCTTCTGCCATCGGGCCCAAAGATGAGTCCGACGGACTTTGTTCCCCCCAAAAAACATGTGGATTCCTTCCGTTAATCTGCAGGAGTGTAGATCTAGTCTCACCCAACCGTAGATAGGACGGTCAGTTGGACGCCTGTCCTTTCGGGGAAGCCTCCCTCCACCTCACTGAGGGGAAGTCCAAGATGGTTTCCACCACCCCAAACCACTTCCCCAAAAACTTGGATTTCCGGATATAACCACTGACCAACACACTCTATGTACGTAGCCTCATGTGGTGGCAAATCCAAAAGGAAGCCAATGCGCAGGAGCGGAAGGCGCTAGAGGATGAGACGGTCCTGGAGGATGTCTTGGTTTGCGCCTGCTACGTGAGCTGCGACTTCCCCGAGGCGACTGGGGGGGTTCAGCAGTTTGGTGGGTGAAACCCGTGGTTTCAGCAACATGGCGGAAAGCAAAAGCCGGCCCTTCTCCCTGGTTGGTGGGTTGGAGAGAAGATCCCTCGAGTGAATCCAACCTTGAAATCCCTTACATTGTCTTGGATGGATTCGTTTTAGACTACTCGTAGGACTTGATTTGCCGAGGCCTTTTCAACCAAGAGCTTTAGCCGCGTCCCTTGCTCGCCGGTCACGAAGGCATCCTTGTGGTTGGCTGATGCAATTCCACGCGCCTGGCTCCCAAAGCGCCAGGACAGCGAATTTGCTGCAAGCTCCTTCAGAACCGACAAGGACGCGGAGGCGAGACGCTGCGGTTTTGTAGTACCCTTTTACCAACTTTTTTGGGGAAAGGGTTCCCCTACTAAAATAGACTACCCAAAAAAGTTGGTACCCTTATTCTCGCCTCTCCACTGGAGGACCTAGTTACCCAGAACCTGGCGAGGTTTTTCCGGCTCGTTGGGATGTCCCGGGAAGGGCCCCTTTTCTTTCCACCAGACGTCGCCCTCGACACGCGCTGTCGGGTTCAGGTCCGCCTGGTTGGCCGGGACCACGGCCTCAGGGTACCTGCCGCCTGCCGCGACATCGCACCTGGTCGATGAAGAAGGGGGGCCTTTGGGTTGGGCGACCCTCGTTGGTTTCTTGGGAAAGGGAAACCACCCCATTTTGGGGTCCCCCCCAGTTTGGAACATGTTTTTTCTAGCAGAAGCTTTCATACTAGATCTTCATCATAACAACCGGGGAGTGGGGGGGGGTTCAAAACACGAATCGTCCCAAGTTCATGTTAGCTTGATTGCGCGGCTAGGAATCCTTAAGAATCAAGGCAGGGTCGGAATTGAGCTCATTTGGTTTCCCTTTACCGGGCCAAATGTCTATCTTTGGAACCCTGCGAAACTGCCTTGGGAAAAGGTTCCACAAACCAGATAGGTTCCCAGTGCGGTTTACCCTGTTTCCTTGTTTTGCTGGGTAAATTATTCTCCTTTTGCCGATGCTTTCTTTGCTGGTAAATTCGCCAACCTCAAACTATATCCGGTTTGTTGATCACTTCCACCCCCCGCCCTTTTGCAACGTCTGCCAATTTCGGAGAAGCTAACGTCAGCCGCCCTGTTTCTGCATGGGAAACTGGGCGAAGCGACCAGGGGCTCTTCTTCAAGTCGGACAAAGACGCAACCCGAGAGGACGGCTGCGAGTGCGAGACGCTGCCCGAGGCACGAGCGTTGCAGTTCGCTTCCGAAAACTTTTGGGAGTCTTGGGAGCGGTTTTGCCTTCAAACCACTGAGGGTGGCTACGCCCCCCAGTAGTGCCCTTTTGCCCTTGTTTGGGGGAGGGTTCCCTACCAAAATGGACTACAGAAAAAGGACACCCTTACTCTAACCTCTCTACTGAGGACCTAGATGATGTTGAGGATATGGGACTGTTTTGAGCTGTCACACCGTAGTCGCGAGTGGGAATCCATGGGATCTCACTCACAAACTCATATCGGGCCCTTCGATATAGATCCCAAACACGACAAGAGCTCGCCGAAAAGGAACCTGGAGGAAGTCACCGATGCACATTTGGCTCGGCTTGCTGAGTCTGGTGTGTGATACCTCTGAGTTGTCTGTGGCAAGTGGCTAAACGTTTTGGTTTACTTGCGAAGGAAATTCACCAGGCGTCCAATTATTTAGTTTGTTTGGCAAATCATGGATCATTTGCGGCGTCCAGTTCCGCACCAAAACTGGTATCCCATTTGTGGGAAACACTGCCATACCGATGTCATTGTGTCACCACAAGAAAACATCTCGCACGTAAGACTTAAGACCGTGAAGGTCCCAACCTTGTCCACACGGCCTGAATCTGACCTTTGGCCATTCCAAGACGAACCTTCGTCAATTGCAAATTGAAGCCATGCCCTTCCGGGCTTGCATTCGCGTATGGCAGAAGTCAAGCTCAGACAAAGAGTGGACGATTTAGTGGCTTTCACTGGTGGTCATTTGACTCCCTTCGTTTGTTTAGACAGATGGTGATGGGCTTTTGAGACGACTTAAGGGGACCATGACTCATGAGCATTCCCCCAAACAGCCGGAGCGGCCTTCCAAAACATACGGTTCGTTTGCCTTGATGTAACCGCCCCGCATTGTGTGTTCATTGTTTATATGATAGTATGTGTATATGTATACATATACATACTATATGTATATGTATATTTAGGTGGGGTACTTATGACCATGGCACATGCGAAGACAAGCCGTGTCAATTACAAGCCCGACCTCTCGCAAGTGATTTCTCGGAAATAGCATTCTATCCTTTCGGCCTTCAACAAGTGAATCCTCCAAAGCCTGTAATTACGCTTATGTTTGTCCAGTTTTATGCGTGTGTAAAAGCGTGAGAGCGTGTTTCATGACCTCTGCAGTGTCAAGCGCCACACCCCCATTTGTTTTACCTTGAGAACCAGCCCTCCGGCCCTCCGGCCCTCCGGTCCTCCGGTCAGGTCGTTTTCCGGCGGTCGAATCTGTTTCGCTCCCTTTTTGAGTTTTTGAGGCCTTTGTGCGGGCTTTGGAGCTGAGCCCAGTGGATCTCCGGAGCCAACTGGTGCAGAACATCGTGGTGTGCGGAGGTGCGCGCATCGGTCCGATGCGAACAGGGGCAAGGGTTTTGGACGCGTTTTGCGTTTTCCAAAGCTACTCCTCTCTCGGTTAGTGGGCCGTTTTGTAGAGGAAGGCCATCTGTGTGATAAACCGGAAGTTTGGACTTGTCCAATCTCAGAAAGTGAGACTTGCTGAGTTGGCACCGCAGAAGCACTTGGAACTCGAGAAGACGGCTCCGACTCAGTGTGGCTTGCTCCAACCCAAGAGTTGTAGCCCAAGTAGTCAATGGACCTCATGGATTCCGTTCCGCAACCCCCCCCCCCGCATCTCCCATCGTAAACCAACGACCCTTTGGCCCTGGTGACCTAACTCTCCTCCACATTCCCATTCGCCACAGAAAACCCGGATGCGGCGGAACCCCGACACCCCTGAGAGCTGGCGCGAGGCGCGGCCAACTTGCGGGGCTTGTTGCCCCGCCTCGCCCTGGAGCTGCAGAAGGCCCTGGAGGACCACAAGGCTCCGGCCGAAGAATTCGCTTCAACCCGTCCTTCGGTGAAGGGAAGCCACAGAAAGGCCGTCCACTTCATGGATCCTTAAGAAGCCCCTCTGGTCTGTTTGGGGCCTTGCTGGATTTTTTTGGTTGTGGGTGGAGGGGGGGGGTCTTTTCGGAGGTTGCTCTTCGTTGGTAAAGCCACAGCGAGGCTCAAAATTAAACAGGAGGGGTTACGCAGGTTTTGGTCCATGTTTCCACTTACCAGGGTTCCATTTTGCACTCCGGTTTTTTGAGCCACAGCCGTGTGTTGAACAAGGATGGTTCCCAATTCACAATCCATGTTGATTTCTTGTGCTGCTTGCTTTGGGATATTTGAGAGCACACCCACGACCCCCAAACTGGGCTTCCAACAGCCCCCAACCCGGGAAAATGCCCAAGCCTAGAATCTCAAGGGGAGACTACCCCCAACCCTCAAAGAGGAACCCAACCACCCCCAACCCCCAAAAGGAGAAAATGCCTTTGACCCCAAGGGGAAACACCCTACCCCACCCTACCCCACCCAACCCCCAAACAGGAAGACCCATCCCACCCCACAGCCGAGGCCTTGGGCGCTTTGGCGGAGAAGCTGCGCTTCACTCCGGTGGAGTTCGCCCCCGTGAGCGCCGCCTGGACCGGGGGCGCCATCTTCGGGGCCCTCGAGGGGGTCGCGGACTACAGCGGCCCGGTGAAGCCATCCGCGTCAACCGCCGGTTGGGGCCGGTGGGTTTTAGGTTTGGCCGGTGGGTTTTAGGTTTGGGTCCCTTCCTTTTGCATCTTACAGGTGTTTTCTTGTTTGGGGTTCTTTTCCCTCTTTCAGCTTAGGAAACCAGAGAAAATCAGCTGGGTAAGGGGAACTGAAACCTAAAGAACCTTTTCAGTTTCCGTGTGTTTGGATGTTCGGCCAAATGTTTGATTCAGCGGTCAGGCCACTCAGGCTACAAGCCACCAACAGCAAGTGGTACGTGTAAGTGGGGAAAATTGTAGGAATGAAACTGGAACAACGTGCAAATGTAGGAAATGCTTGGTGAACCACTGGGAGGGCTTGGGTGCAGCATTCAATGCAAAGCGCGTTTCGGAAACCCTCTTGAAGGAAAACCCAGCGGATTTTTGTTGGAGCAATAACCCGCTTGCTTCAACCCAGGCCCGACGAAAATGAAGAGAGACTTGGTCACCATGATCTTTTCGGATCACTGTAGGGCGAAGGAAGAGAGGACCTAGGGAAGAGAGGAGTGAACACTTGCCCATTGAGATGAGTTCTTCATCATTTGAGTGCCGCGCCCGAAAAATGCGAGGTTGTTTCCTGGCCGGATCGTCAGGTCAGGTCAGAACTTGGTGAAGACCCTGTCAGCATTTGCGTGTTGTACTTCTGTTTCAATAGCTGGGGATGGTGGGACTGTTGAACTAGTTGGTTTGTGACCTCAAAAGAAAAGTAGCTCTTGGATTGTTTTTTTCTTCCCGTTTTCCCGACCTCAATTCTAACAGCCAGCTCTTCCTCGCTCGACGGAGGTGCCGAGGATTTCCACAAGGGCGAGCCATTGCCCGACTGGCTGCGGAGTGGCTTCCTCTGATGAAAACGGCCGCGTCGGGTCACGGGGGCGCCTTCGGTTTTTCTTCAAAAACTCGCCAGAGGGCACCACCCCCCCCCTTTTGTTGGGACTCCCCATTGAAAGCGCTCTTTGAGTCTTGGGGTGCCAAAGGCACAGACATTGCGGGGCGAACCCCGAAGACATGAAGTCGGAGTTGAGACTCCGAGTGCATTTGAACTCGGCGCTGGCCAGTTTGATATTTTTTGTTCGGATGCCAAAGACGCCCACAACTGCATTTTCACAGCCCCGAAAAGGAAGCGACCATATTGAGTCAATTCCTTCAGGCGGATTTGTGTTTATTTAGTAACAAGGTCGTTCCAACCATGTTCGAGAAGATCAGAAAGACCAGCCCTGTCTTTCCAGGCCTCAACCAGAGCCTGGTCATAATGAGCTCACCTTTTTTTGTTTAATCAACATGCTGTGGGATCAACGAACCAGTCGCTGCGCCTGGCAGCCGGGCTCAGACGCTCAGAAGCCCGATCTGAAGAGGAGCTGGCCGGGGTCATCGGGATGCGTGGTGCGAGGGCGTTGCTTTCCTAACCCTCCAAGCGGTACAGGGGTTCAAGGCATATCTTTACATGTTGCTGAGATGCGCTTGGTTGCTTGATGTTGCTTGCTTGGTTCTAAAAGGAAATGAGCAGCGCCACAACCGCGATTGATTCTAGTAGGTGGTTCTGCTTGGTTTACTTGGCGTTGTAGAGCCACGTTCGAGGAACCAAAAGTGTCAATGGGTGTCTTTGGCGCTGCTCAGATGGTTCCTGGTGGCTATCTCACGGCCATTCTTCACACGAATCTGGAAGGCATGCCAACGGACAGCCAACGGAAGGCAGCCCAAAGGAGAACGCTTCAGAGCGCCCGGTGTCCATTCCCACGGAGGAATGATTTATAAATGTTCGGAGGTCCGCTGCCTCCAATAGAATATCATGATATACATAATCAAAGGAAGTTTAGTTAGAAAACTTCCGCAATACGAAAAGTGTAGTTCGCAACGCACATGAACAACGCGAAGGGTGCCTCTGTTTTGCGCACGGGTTCGCCACAGGTTCGCCACGGGTTCGCCACGGGTTCGAAAAGTTCCCCACTGGAATGCTCGCGCAGACTGCTTCGGAGGTGCAAATCGCGTGGCAGGCGCAGCACTTTGGCAACCTGAGGTGCAGATTTCGTGGCAGGCGCAGCATTTTGTGTCCGTGCAGCGTCAAGTGCATTTTTTGTGGCAGGCGCATCACTTTCGCAAGGTCAGGTGATAGATAGATAGATGGATAGATAGATCAAATGGGAACAGAGAGAGAGAGAGAGAGAGAGAGAAAACAAAAACAGAGACTGAGGTGTAAGTCGCGTGGCAGGCGCAGAACTTTAGCAGCCTGCGGTGCAAATCGCGTGGCAGGCACATCATTTTCCAGCCACGCAAGGTCAAGTACATATTTTGTGGCAGGCGCAGCACGTTCGCAAGATGATGTACAGATTTCGTGGCACTTTCGCAAGGTGAGGGGTAGATTGACAGATTTTAGGTCGAGTACAGATTTAGTGACGGGATCAGCATGCTGATTTCGTGGCGGGCGCAGCACTTTTGCAAGGTCTGGTGATGGATTGATAGATAGATAGAGAAAAGGAAAGAAAGTAAAGAAAGAAAGAAAGAAAGAAAGCAACAAACAGAGAAATAAACAGAGGAAAGACAGAAAGAAAGAAAGAAAGAAAGAAGGAAGGAAGGAAGGAAGGAAGGAAAGAAAGAAAGAAAGAAAGAGAGATAAAGAAAGAAACAAAGAAATACAAAAAGGAAGAAAGCACGGAAGAAAGAAAGAAAGAAAGAAAGAAAGAAAGACACAAAGAAACAGAGAGAGAGAGAGAGAAAGAAAGAAAGAAAGAAAGAAAGAAAGAAAGACAGAAAAAAAGGAATAGAGACAAGAAAGAAAAGAAAGAAAGAAAGAGCGAAAGAAAGAAGGACAGACAGAAAGAAAGAAAGAAGAAACAAAGACAGAAAGAAAGAAATAAAGACAGAAAGAGAGAGAGAAAGAGAGAAATAGAGAGAGAGAGAGAGCGAGAGAAAGAAAGAATGAAAAAAACCAAGCAAAAAAGAAAGAAAGAAAAATGACTAAAGAAAGAGCGAAACCAAAAACAACAAGCCAAGCTCTTTCTATAGGCATTTATCTCGCTTTAGACTTCCGCCCACCGCCTCTGCTGGCTCTGCTGGTATGTACATCATTATAGAGCCTCCGGCTCACTCCGCCGACATTGGCCTCTCCCTTTTCTCCTTTTCTTTTTTCTTCGTTCCCTCCTCCTCTCTTTCCCTCTAGAGAGAGAGGCAGAGCGAGGGGGAGAGAAAGGAAGGCAAAAAGAGGGAGGGGGAGGGAGAGAAAGAAGCGCACTCTCTCTCTCTCTCTCTCTCTCTCTCTCTCTCTCTCTCTCTCTCTCACGCATCGGCATCATTTCTCTCGGCAAGAAATGCAGACGCCCAGTTCGGCTTCGCCGGAGGATGACCCGGAGTGGGTGCAAGCAGGTGGTTGGCGAGAGCAGGCAGGCCTTTCTGGGCAACACGCTTGGGGCCTGGTGCTCCATTTCATCGCTGCGGACAAGAGAGCGGCGGACGAAAGCGAAGTTGAAGACGACTGCGCGGAAACGCCTGCCGCTTGTGCCTCAGCTTCCGCCCAAGCAACGTCGCTTCTCGACTCGTTCTCTCGAGGTCCTTGCCGACAGTGAAAGTCACGGGTTGGACAAAGAGGCCCGGCCTCTTGCAACTTTTCTGGGAAAGGGGCGCAAGCTCAGGAGTTCAAGCAAGCCATGGAAGCGGCCGCCAACGAGCTGCCCATGTCAGAGAGACCTTTCGGAGCGGAGGCCGTTGGCTTTGACTTGCGCTGTTGCGTTTCTCAGCACTCAGGCGCGAGAGGCAGATGCTTGCTCCAGCAGTGCTCCGCACTCCCGTCGCCCCTGGGCACCCTCGAAAAAAGGGACCTGGGCTGTGGCACGGAGGGCGGACGAAAGCGCAACAAGGCGGCTGTGCCAGGTTTCAGGGGCTGCCTTGACCGCTTTCGCAAGCTGCTTAAAACACAAGGCCCACGGCACGTCGCCAGCGTCGCGTGGCAGACCGTGCGCGGAGAGCTCCATCGCCGCGGCCCTAGCTCGTCCCGTCTGTCCGCGCTCCCCGCACCCTGCCAGGGGTCATCGACTGGCGACCTTGCCGGGGACGTGGAGTTCGCCGGATTGGCGGAGATCTTGGCAGGGCGCTCAGCTTAAGTTTGAGCAAGCCTTGCGACCAACCGCCAGCGAGGCCCACAATCTGAACTGCGTCCCCGCTGCTTTGGAGCCGTTCCGCGAGGCCATTGTGGGCGCGTGGCACATGGCTGCTCAAGAAGTTCTCCACCTCCCGCAGGTGCAAGAAAATCGCCTAATCCTGTCTCAGCACGCCCAGGATGAAGACCCCGCAAAGAAAAAGCAGAGGCGCTTGGCGGCAAGCCGGCCGCAAAGGCGGCCGCAAAAAAGGACGCAGCAGAAGAGGCCAAGGCTGCGAAGGCCTTGAAGGCGAGCCCCTTGCGAAGTCAACTCGGGCCCCTTCCTCGAAATCCTGTTGGCAGGCAAGAAGAGCCAAGAAGCGGCAGGAAAGCAAGAAACACAAGGCCGGGCGCAAACGATGAAGCAGGAGGCGCTGAAAGGCAGCAAGGCAGGCTTCTTCGCCGCACTGACAGGAAGGCGCGGAGAAGCTGCAACAGCTCCACAACAAGGGGCTTAGTGCGGAGCCTCGTTTTGGGCGAGTTTGCGCAGGGGCCTTGGCTCGCGAGGATTACCGCGCTCGAAAGAAACTCCGCAGCCAGCGCAAAACACAGGCGCGCCCGAAGTGTCAGGAACAGACGCGCTCTGTCGCCTTGTCAGGCGTACCCAAGGTTTCGCAAACACAAAGTCACCAAGCAAACGAACCTGCGCAGGATGACGAGGAGTTTGCGGCAGCGCTGGCCCAGGCCAAGTTTCTGAGTCAGCAGGAGCAGGAGGACGAGTATAGGCGGGTTTTAGGTTGAGCCAAACTGTCTGGATGTGACAGGGATCCGGACGCTGGCTAGGTAGCTGGAGATGTTTGATTTTGCAGTTCGAGATTTGCGATGCAGGAGGACCCCAGCATGTAGTTAGCCTAGAACCGGAACATCCATTTTAATCGGGGCATTAAGGGTGGGGAACAGCGCAAGGGCCTTCAAATTTAGGAGGTGGGGAGGGTCAGGGCCCTCCCCCACGCCTTGCGCCAAGCCCCTTAAGCCCTGAGGACGTCGCCGAGAAAGCCGGCGCAAAGCGGCCCAATGGACACAATTTGATAGGAAGTCGACAAGCTCCAGTCGGCTGCTAAAAACTGCAGAAATGTGATTGCCAAAGCGGATGACCGCCGATCGACAAAAATTGCGTTTCTTAAAAGACAGTTTTATAGGACATCGACAAGTTCAAGTCGGCCGCCCAAACTTGCAAAATCTGACTGCAAAAGTCCGGATGACCGCAGATCGACCAAAAAGCGCGATTCCGAATAAACAGTTTAATGGGGAATCAACAAGCTCGAGTCGACTGCCCCAAATCCGGATGACCGCAGATCGAACAAAATTTTAACGCCTCCGGCTCAGGCCGCCGACATTACAGGCCTGCTTTCTTATTTGCGTTCCTTTGGAATTGTCCCCTTGCCCCATTCCCCTCTAAGATTTTTGCCCCCCTTTCCCTTTTTGAGATCCATTCCCCCTTTCCCCTGTAAGGCCCTTTCTCCCTCTGAGATTTTTCCCTTTTCCTCCCTAAGATGTTTTCCCCCCTCTCCCTGTTAAGATCCTTTCCCCCCTTTCCCCTTTTCCCCCCCTGAGATCTTTTCCATTTCCTCCCTGAGATCTTTCCCCCCTTTCCCTGAGATCCTATCCCCCCTTCCCCCCTAAGGCCTTTCCCCCCGCTCCGCTGAGATCTTCTCCTTATTCCTCCCTAAGATCCTTTGCCCCCTTTCCCCTTTCCCCCCTTTTTTCCTAAGATCTTCT